CCTCTCCTGCCTCGCCCAGGCCCCCGTGGAGGTCATCAGCCTGCGAGTATTAAACTTTTTAGCACATCCACCGCAGAGCAATTTTTAGGACTCCTTTGCCGGCGGAGTTCAAATGAAACTCATGGCTGATCTCATTAAGCACTTGTCTCATTTTGGCGCATGAATATTAAACAGGCGCATGTGTGAGCAGGACGCTGCAGAAAGAACATTTTTCCTCTGCGACACCCCGGGGTCAGCCCTGCCTCCCAAAGGCAGATGGTCACTGTGCCCCCAGCTGCGGGCAGAGCAGGGCAGGAGGAGCACAGCCAGGCTGCAGTGCTGCCACGGAGGGCATTGGGCACAGTGTGCCCTGGCAGGGAGCTCCCCACACCTTGCTGGTGCCCAGGAGGAGCACAGCCAGGCTGCAGTGCTGCCACGGAGGGCATTGGGCACAGTGTGCCATGGCAGGGAGCTCCCCACACCTTGCTGGTGCCCCGGGAGGGTCAGTGAGGGACGGCCCTGGGGCAGTGCAATGCAGGAGCCCAGCTCTCCTTCCCCCACGCTGCAGGTGCCCAGGCAGCTCCCAGAGCTGTCCCCATCAGTCTTTCGTCCCAGCCAGCAGCTCCGGTCACTGTGACCCAGATCAGCTCCAGCTGATCTATCAGGGCAGCTGCCCTGCCATAAATCCGGGGCAGCGCTCACACCCAGCCCTGCCGGCCCCACCTGCAGCGCTCCCGGTGAGCAGGTAATCATGAGCTGCCACCGAGAGGTGACCCATTACCGTGATGGATTTGGTGCGAGGAGCAAATGGACTGAGACCTGGGACTGCTGTCCTTCCTGCTCCTTGGCCTTTGTCCTGTCCTATCAATATCCACGCTGGGCTCGTTACACTGATGGCAGCGGGGTCAGGTGGTGGCTGGGCTCGCAGGGACACGCTGCCCGCTCTGCCAGCGGGCACTGCCCTGAGCTGGGCTCACCAGGACACGCTGCCCGCTCGGCCTGCGGGCACTGCCCTGAGCTGGGCTCGCAGGGACACGCTGCCCGCTCTGCCAGCGGGCACTGCCCTGAGCTGGGCTCACAGGGACACGCTGCCCGCTCTGCCAGCGGGCACTGCCCTGAGCTGGGCTCACCAGGACACGCTGCCCGCTCTGCCAGCGGGCACTGCCCTGAGCTGGGCTCGCAGGGACACGCTGCCCGCTCTGCCAGCGGGCACTGCCCTGAGCTGGGCTCGCAGGGACACGCTGCCCGCTCGGCCTGCGGGCACTGCCCTGAGCTGGGCTCGCAGGGACACGCTGCCCGCTCTGCCAGCGGGCACTGCCCTGAGCTGGGCTCGCAGGGACACGCTGCCCGCTCTGCCATGGGGCACTGCCCTGAGCTGGGCTCACCAGGACACGCTGCCCGCTCGGCCTGCGGGCACTGCCCAGCTCCCCACCCCACAGGTGCTCCTGCACTCGCTGTTCCCTCTCCTGCTGAGGCTCAGCCCTCTCCGTGGCGAAGCGCTTGGTCCCAGCAGCACCAGCCAAGCAGCTGCCAGGGCTGAAGGTGGCACAGCCCAAGCACCCCGGCCGTGCCCACTGAGGCGCCCCAGGGGCTGCTGCAGCTGCAGCGAGATGTGGGGACGTGTGGGGACGTCTGCCATCACCACAGGGAGGAGGAGGAGGAGGAGGGAGAGCAGCAGAGCTGACCTTGAGGCTGCCTGAGATTGACCCTGAAGCGGCGAGATTCTCCATTCCGTGCACAGGCACTGTCATCTCTCACCTTGCAGAGAGTGCTCTCCTTGCCCATTTATCATCACAAATGTTTCTATTTAGGCTTATTTGTTTGTACAGTTAAGCCCTGTTACATTTACACCAAGAAGAAGGACAAATTGTGATTTTATCCAATGTTAGATCATATCACTCCTTGCTACAACTTTCACAGCATTAATAAGGATAAAGGGAGACTTTGGAGAAATTCAATAATACAGCACATGTGATAACAGCCCAGCCAAGCGCTCTGGGGAGGGAGTGAATTCCACAGTGGAGCCAGGGCCGTGGCTGCCCCTTTGTGCCCACCCCTTTGTGCCCACACTGTCTTGTCTCCCCAGGAGGGGATTCTGCCCTGGCTGAATGTGGCTGAGTGTGGCTCACGATGGAGCCTTAGTCTGCCTGCTGGAACCCTTCACTCTCTGAACAGTATCTTGCTCTTACACAAAACTCCAGATGCCTGTAGAGCTCCCAGCTCTTCCTGTCAGCACTCACCAGGCACAGAAATGGTTTGGTTTTATTATTTTTAAAGACAGAAGTGGTGGCAGAAACGTGCCAAAAAATGGCAAGTCTGGGAAAGCAGAGCACAGAATGATGGAGAGCAGAACCCAGAAATCAGGGGTGCCAGGATGCTCTGGAGTGCCCAAAAGGAGGTCCCTGCCCAGGGCCGTGGGCATCCCCAGGAACCCCCAGCACTGCCAGGCAAAGCTCTGCAGCTCCCTGTGCCTTGGCCCACTGCCACCTTGGTCCTGACACGGAAGGGACCTGGAGCAGATGTGTCACTTGAGCTGGGAGCACCGTCACTGTCACCTCTGTGCTTCTCAGGGTCCACCTGAAGCTGCCCCTGGCCCAGGAGAGCTCATTGCCCCCCATGCCAGTGCCAGGAGCAGCAGTGCCAGACACGAGCACCCACCTGCACATCAGCAAAGTGCCTGGCAGCAGGGCCAGGGGCAGGCAGGCACCCAGGGTCCCTGTTTGCAGGGTGCCACTCTGGGGTCTGTCCTGCCAGCGCCACCCAGGGCTCCCCGTTTGCAGGTGGCCACTGTGGGGACACCCTTATCCTGGTGGGCACACCCTGCCCTGATGGGCACACCCTGACACCCTTACCCCGGTGGGCACACCCTGTCCCGGTGGGCACACCCTGCCCTGATGGGCACACCCTGACACCCTGTCCCGGTGGGCACACCCTGCCCCGATGGGCACACCCTGACACCTTGCCCTGACGGGCACACCCTGACACCCTGCCCTGATGGGCACACCCTTATCCCGATGGGCACACCCTGCCCTGATGGGCACACCCTGTCCCGGTGGGCACACCCTGCCCCGATGGGCACACCCTGACACCTTGCCCTGACGGGCACACCCTGACACCTTGCCCCGATGGGCACACCCTGCCCCGATGGGCACACCCTGCCCTGATGGGCACACCCTGTCCCGATGGGCACACCCTGTCCCGGTGGGCACACCCTGCCCCGATGGGCACACCCTGACACCCTTACCCCGGTGGGCACACCCTGTCCCGGTGGGCACACCCTGCCCTGATGGGCACACCCTGACACCCTGCCCTGATGGGCACACCCTGCCCCGATGGGCACACCCTGTCCCGGTGGGCACACCCTGCCCCGATGGGCACACCCTGACACCCTTACCCCGGTGGGCACACCCTGTCCCGGTGGGCACACCCTGCCCTGATGGGCACACCCTGACACCCTGTCCCGGTGGGCACACCCTGACACCTTGCCCTGACGGGCACACCCTGACACCCTGCCCTGATGGGCACACCCTTATCCCGATGGGCACACCCTGCCCTGATGGGCACACCCTGCCCCGATGGGCACACCCTGTCCCGATGGGCACACCCTGCCCTGATGGGCACACCCTTATCCCGGTGGGCACACCCTGACACCTTGCCCTGACGGGCACACCCTGACACCTTGCCCCGATGGGCACACCCTGCCCCGATGGGCACACCCTGTCCCGATGGGCACACCCTGCCCTGATGGGCACACCCTGTCCCGGTGGGCACACCCTGCCCTGATGGGCACACCCTTATCCCGATGGGCACACCCTGTCCCGATGGGCACACCCTGTCCCGATGGGCACACCCTGCCCTGCTGTCGCACCGCCACCACGGCTCCCTCCACACACACACACATCCATTCTCCACTTTTTTTTATGATCAGCTGAAGATTTCTTTTTGCATCTGCCAAGGAACTATTTTCACAACTAAGTATGTAAATCCTCTGTAAATGTATGCTAATTACTTATTTTAATTACAATGTAAATAAGTAATTACTGAATAATTTTAAAGTATTTACATGGGGTTGTGTGATTTAAAAGCTAACTTGTTGGAAGTATAAAAACTATAAATTTTACGGTAATTATGCCACAATTTATACACTGTGGCCAAATACAATTTCCCTGTGCTTCGTAAGAGATAAATAAATATGTAATTCCCCAGTAGTTGCTGCAGAATAACAAAACTATTGCATGGTGATTTCTTCTCTTTTATGTGAAAAATGCCCATACACCAAACCTATTTGAAGTCAAGATTTTTCACAAGGATATGAACATTCATCCGTGTGATGCTGAGGAAGTTCTGAAGGAGAAGAAGAAGGGAGGATTCTGAAGGAGGTTGCTAAAAAGGGGTAAAGATAAAAGGAGGAAAAACAGCACAAGGGCCCCTGGTTCTCCCAGACATCTCTGCCAGCTCTGGGGGTCTGTGCCGTGCCCGGGCTGTGGGCACAGGGCTCCAGGGACCCCCAGCCCTGGCCCCCAGCTCTCGTGGCTGCAGCTTCCTGCAAAAGCAGGAGCAGAGCTCGGCAGGAAATTGGCAATCAAAAGGTAAGTTTATAAACAGTTAAATTATATTTCCTGTGGGGTATTTTTTTATTAATTTCATTGCAATAATACATTAAACGCCAGCACTGTGAAAATTAGTGTTAATGAACATTAAATGTGTTGGACAATTTAAATGGTGTGTATATATCACCTCTCTTATTATTGGGATTGGCCCAGCGGTAATATCCTTTTATCGATCCTCTGCCTTTCTCCTTGCCTCCGTCCCTGTGGAAGTGGCCATGAAGGACACGGTGAGCACGGAGCTATCGCAGACACAATCTTTGAGCACTTTAATAACGCTGCGAGCAGCCATCACCCACCAGCCCTTAATAACGTCTCCGTCAGCTCTTTGGGATTTGCACATCGCACAGGCCTTCTAAATCTTCCCTGGAAGGGCCGGGGCGGTGGGAGCCCCCTCCCCTGGGGCGGGGTCCCTCACGCCGCTGGGCACGGGGAGAGCGGGGGGACAGGGGCTGGCCCGGGGCTGGGGCTGTGCCGTGCGTGCCGTGCCATGCGTGCCGTGCCGTGCGTGCCGTGCCATGCGGGCTGTGCCAGTACCCGTGCGGGCTGTGCCATGCGTGCCGTGCCATGCGGGCTGTGCCAGTACCCGTGCGGGCTGTGCCATGCGTGCCGTGCCATGAGTGCCGTGCCATGCGGGCTGTGCCAGTACCCGTGCGGGCCGTGCCATGCGGGCTGTGCCGTGCGTGCCGTGCCATGCGGGCTGTGCCAGTACCCGTGCGTGCCGTGCCATGCGTGCCGTGCCATGAGTGCCGTGCCATGCGGGCTGTGCCATGCGGGCTGTGCCAGTACCCGTGCGGGCCGTGCCATGCGGGCCGTGCCATGCGGGCTGTGCCATGCGTGCCGTGCCATGCGTGCCGTGCCATGCGGGCTGTGCCAGTACCCGTGCATGCCGTGCCATGCGTGCCGTGCCATGCGGGCTGTGCCAGTACCCGTGCGGGCTGTGCCATGCGTGCCGTGCCATGCGTGCCGTGCCATGCGGGCTGTGCCATGAGTGCTGTGCCATGCGGGCCGTGCCATGCGGGCTGTGCCATGCGTGCCGTGCCGTGCGTGCCGTGCCATGCGGGCTGTGCCATGCGGGCTGTGCCGTGCGTGCCGTGCCATGCGTGCCGTGCCATGCGGGCTGTGCCAGTACCCGTGCGTGCCGTGCCATGCGGGCTGTGCCATGCGTGCCGTGCCATGCGTGCCGTGCCATGCGGGCTGTGCCATGCGGGCTGTGCCGTGCGTGCCGTGCCATGCGTGCCGTGCCATGCGGGCCGTGCCATGCGGGCTGTGCCAGTACCCGTGCGGGCTGTGCCGTGCGTGCCGTGCCATGCGGGCTGTGCCATGCGTGCCGTGCCATGCGGGCTGTGCCAGTACCCGTGCGGGCCGTGCCATGCGGGCCGTGCCATGCGGGCCATGCCATGAGTGCCGTGCCGTGCGTGCCGTGCCATGCGGGCTGTGCCATGCGTGCCGTGCCATGAGTGCCGTGCCATGCGGGCTGTGCCATGAGTGCCGTGCCATGCGGGCTGTGCCGTGCGTGCCGTGTCATGCGGGCTGTGCCATGCGGGCTGTGCCAGTACCCGTGCGGGCCGTGCCATGCGGGCTGTGCCCGTGCCATGCGGGCTGTGCCATGAGTGCCGTGCCATGCGGGATGTGCCATGCAGGATGTGCCATGCAGACCATGCCATGCGGGCTGTGCCCGTGCCATGCGGGCTGTGCCAGTACCCGTGCGGGCTGTGCCATGCGTGCCGTGCCATGAGTGCCGTGCCATGAGTGCCGTGCCATGCGGGCTGTGCCATGCAGACCGTGCCATGCGGGCTGTGCCGTGCGTGCCGTGTCATGCGGGCTGTGCCATGCGGGCTGTGCCAGTACCCGTGCGGGCCGTGCCATGCGGGCTGTGCCCGTGCCATGCGGGCTGTGCCGAGCGGGCTGTGCCATGCGGGATGTGCCATGCAGGATGTGCCATGCAGACCGTGCCATGCGGGCTGTGCCCGTGCCCGCGCCGGCAGCGCGGCTCCGAGAGCTGCCGGTGGTATGAGGTTCGCTGGGGATCGCAGGCTGGGGGAGCCGGGGGGGATTTGGGGGAACCAGAGGGGCTGAGGGTCGCTGCCCCTCATCACGGGCGCAGGCGGTCCCTGGTGCACTCCCTGCTCCTCCTGCACGCTGCCTCTGCCACGGGGCACCCCAGCTGGCACCGGGCACCCCGCGGCTCCGGCTGCAACCCCAGCACTTCCCAGGCACGCCTGATGTCACCTCAGGCCCTGAATCAAGAGCCCTTTAAAATCCAGCAAGCCCTGGGCCCCGCATCACACCTGCACCAGGTGTGCGCAGAACCGGAGGGGTTTTGGAGCAGCAGTGGGCAGCCCTGGCACAGGTGCCCAGAGCAGCATGCCTGGCAGTGCCCAGGGCCAGGCTGGGCGGGGCTGGGAGCACCTGGCACAGTGGAAGGTCCCTGTGTGGGATGAGATCAGGTTTAAGGTCCCTGCAGTCCAAACCCGTGTGTGATTTGATGGTTCAGGGATCCAGTGCAAACCCAGGGCCTGGCCCGGCGCTCTCAGGGCTCAGCCTCAGGCTCTGTGTCTGCTCAAAGCTTTCCTGGCAGGCAGAGGGTGACCCTGGATCAGGCACATCCAGCTCTGGGAGCACCACTGTGAATTTGCTCAGCAATGTTACACCAGAGCTTCACAAACGCAGGTTAAACCACCTGCGTGCTCCTGCTGCAGGGACGTGCTGATATCCCCACCGGGGAGCCGAGATATTTTTATGCCTCTGCACTCATCTAACATCTGAGTTTCACTAATAACTAGATTTATGCAGTAGCACAGCTTTAAAAGAACAGGTTAAGGGGAAAATTGATCTGTATTCAGGAATGCCAAGTACCTGGATTAAGATGCTTTTTCCCACCCAGAACACTCAGCATTTCCATAGCTGTGCACATGTTCCAGGCACGGGCCCCACTCCACTGCTTTCCTGGTGGATTATAGAGCTGTTACAAAGGATTTGAAAAAATTAATGATCAAATGGCTGCGAGAACTGTGGGATGTGGGATGCCTCCATCCACCAGCATCTCTCCGCAGCTGGAATTAGTTTCGCTGCAAAATGCACTGGAGTATGAGCAAAGACAGCCTGAAAGCAGCTCCCACCGAACTCTGGCAGGCTTTCAGAGAATTGGTGAAATGTCCTTTCTGAGCACTGGGCGAGACACTCTCAAGCCTTTTGTCTGGAATATGAAGGAGCACAGTAGGTGCTTTGAGTAGGTTGTTATAAAAATTGCTGACATAACAGTGCACGTCTGCTCCAAACCTGTCCGCAGACACGGAATTCCTGAAATGATCTCTCGGTGCATTGTCTGCTTGTTCAGGGCTCTGCAAAGGGCTCGGGTGGGGGAAGCTCCAGCAAACCCTGCCCAGGAGCGGCCGCAGGGCTGGGCATTGACGCCACTGCCCGACAGGGCACGCAGCATTTCAATCGTGTTTTTCCTAGATTTCTGTTTTGCAAAGAATTCAATTTGCTTTATTGTTTGCGATTCATATCCAACATTGCAGAGTACATTTAATACATAGCAGTTACACTTGAAAGTGGTCTAATTAATAAAATGCATAAAAATAAATAGGAAAATCAATGCTTTTGTTAACATTCTGTCATTTTTACACATTTTAAAATTCATAGCAGCTCAAAGAGCACAGCACGAGTAGAGTGGGCTCTGGTTTGGTAAAAAGCTGAAGATGCTGAGCAGACAAAAATATTCTTCCAAATGAGATTAGAGAGTCGGGACACTGTCTTGGGCAAAAAATGGAATTTTTGATGGTATTAGCCTGGCTGTGGCCTTGCAGTTTGCATTTCTTCTGTCCACAGAGAGAAGAAAATATTCTGTCAGAATAATATAGTGAAAATTAAAAGTAAATAAACCAAAAAAATCTCAGACTTGGCTGGTGGAAATCTACCCTTCCCACGGTTAAGGTTCCCCTCTAGAATTCATGCAGTTAGAGAGGTAACTGATCTCCCGTGCCTGCAAAATGGAGATCCACAATGAGACAGAGGCTGGAGGAGGAAATCCCATTTTCTTTGTGACTTTTTAAACCACACAGTGTTAACAGCCACATGGAAAATCTTTCTCATTAACACCTAGGGCTCAGGGGAAATGTTGTCCACGAACGCCTTATTGCATATAACCCCAAACCCTTTAGGACCTTGAGACGCTCAGACGAACTGGAGTAATGACCTGGAAATAGTCCTCTGGGCCTGCTGCAATAATGATGTGGCTGGCTGTATTTTTTTAATATGAGGAAAGAGATTAAAGAAAATAACAGCCCTGCTTGACTCGTTCATTATTACTGAGGTGAAGTGACCACTAAGAAATGATGACAGAAACCTTGCTCACCAGTCACCAGGCCCAAATGGGGCTGGGGAGGTTTCTGACACAGCCCGCCTGAAGGCAGCATAATAAATTCAGGCATTATCTGATATGGATGAATCATAATGAAAAATAAATTTGCAAAACACTCTGATATTAGTTAATCCATAAAGTATTTTATTACTTCATTTTCTTACATTGAATCCATCATGCGTTTTTCTGGCAGCATATTTTTAATTACTTTTAATTTAAATATATGTGTCCGCTGCCCAGATTGGTTTTGACGCTGGTTTAAAAAAATAAATTAAAAAAAAAAAAAAAGAAAGTAATTATTGTCCCCCCCTGCACCGTGCTCCTTCCCCTGCAGACAGGGTGGTGCTCAGCCAGGGCTGGCACGGGCACTGTCACCATGGGGAACTGTCCCCAAGCCCTGAGGTGGCAATGGTGACACTAGGTGCACACAGCTCCTTCCTCCTCATCCTCTGAGATGGGGCCAGGACAGGCCTGGCAGGAGAGGACAGGACAGACAGGACAGACAGGACAGACAGGACAGGACAGGACAGGACAGACAGGACAGGACAGGACAGGACACCCCACCAGGACAGACAGGACAGACGGGACAGGACAGGACAGGACAGGACAGGACACCCCACCAGGACAGACAGGACAGGACAGACAGGACAGACGGGACAGGACAGACAGGACAGACAGGACAGGACAGACAGGACAGGACAGGACACCCCACCAGGACAGACAGGACAGACGGGACAGGACAGGACAGGACAGGACAGGACAGACAGGACAGGACAGACAGGACAGGACAGATGGGACAGGACAGGACAGGACAGACAGGACACCCCACCAGGACAGGACACCCCACCAGGACAGCTGTGCAGCTCCAGTGCAGCTCCCGTGCAGGACGAGGGGCTGCTCCCTGCAGGGCTGTGCCCGGGCAGTGCCACAGCCAGGCTGGGCACATCCATTAGCACTGATGCAAAAATGACCATTAAGGAGTGGTGACAGGGCCCTGCTCATTTGTGCCTGGGACAAAGCGCCGCTGCCCGGGGCTGCCTAATGAAATCTGAAACCATCACATTTATTTGTCATATGGGTGTAACGCATTTGCTGAGCCGTCTAATAAATGTAATAATCCAAATATTCCTCCAGTTCTTTTAGAAGAAATACATTTATTGCCTGGGAAGCCTTCTAATAGGGTTTCTTAACCGGTTCCCTGCCTGCCGTGCCCCCTCTCTGTGCTGGGACAGGGAGGTGCCCACCAGGAGCGCCAGCCAGGCTCTCTCTGGAGCCTGCAGGGCTCCCCTGGCAGCTCTGGCAGCTGGCACCGAGCTGTGGCTCCATCCCCACACATCGCTCGGAAACAAACCCTGAGCTGTCCCTCTCTGGCACAGGGACCCGGATTTGGTGCCAGCACGTGTTCCCGTGGCAGGGAATGGGGCAGAGGTGCCGGGGCCAGGGCAGCCCCTGAGAGCCCCAGGGAGGGAGGGAGGAGCCCTTTCAGTCCGAGTCTCGCCGTGCCGTGCCGTGCCAGGCTGTGCCAACGGCTCACCTGCAAAATGTGCCCAGACTCAGCCTCCCACGGTCCCTCCCCATAACCAGAGATTCCACAGGCCTGGGATGCTGGGGCCGATGCTGGGGGAAGGGGGAGGCACACCCCTGTGTTAGCAGAGTGTGAGCCAGCATTTCACACACCACCACGCCAAACGGAACTTTGATATGCTGAGCAAATATTGAATTCTATTGGTTTAATTTAATTAAAATTTATTAACCTTTTATTAAACATATACCCTCATTAAAATTCTCATTCCTGACTCCTACAACAGCCCAGCCATATTCTTATTTCCAAGCTCATTAAATATCACCCAAAGAGAACTTATTTCTTAAGCACTGATTGTTGATAAACTATAATATTAACCCAGGCATGTCCCAGGGACTTTGAAGAGGAGACAAATGAAATCCA